GAATGGCTGGAAGAATATAGTGGGAGCTTGCTAAGTGAGGGAGAGGTGGGGAGAGACCTAGGAAAGATCTTATGCCAGAGGTAAAAAAAAAAATCATCATTTTGCCACCCCTGGAAAGGAGGTGGGAACAGTGCTCTTGTTCTTGAGCAAAACTGAGTGTTACCCGTCTGATTACAGCAAACCTTTAAGCCAGCCCTGAGCAAGGGTGACTTTCAAATCAGAGGCCCCCAAAACAGCTTTGATATTCTGTAGCATGGTGTGATACTGTCCTTAAGAGAGATTGTCTCAACTGTACAGACGCACTGTGCAAAAACCTGCTGCAAACATTTCATGTGTTGCTTTGATGTTCCATCTACCCCTAGGACTTCCAGCTGGAGGCTACAGAAGTGTACAGCAAAGTAGCCAAGCAGCTGGTGAAGCAGCAGAAGTACAGTGAGATTCGGCAGCTTCTCAAGTGTGTCAATGAGTCTGGAGTTGCAGCAAAAAATGATGGGGATAACATTATCCTAAACTGTCTAAATGAGTTCAAGAACATTCCTGCTGAGGTAATTCTTCATGCATTGTGTCCCTTTTGAAATAAAATGGGTACAGTGGAGGCTACACTACAATAAAGGCTACAGGGAAACCATCCAGTGCTGCTCTATTAGCGAGTCCTTATCTCCTGGCTCTGTACTACGTGCTCTGTTTAAAGGTGGGAGCGTGCAGTTTGCCTTATGCAAGTTATGCCACGTCTATGGTAAAGGCAGAAATCAGACTTTGCATTTTTGACATCTGCAGCCCTTGCAGCTGGGACAACGAAACCATCTAGCTGTGATCTTAACTGCCCTTCCTTTATGCAGGGTTTTGGTGCTTGATGGGTTGAAGATTTGTAAATCATAGTCACTCTAAATGTGAACACCTTTTCCCTTCTTTGGATTACAGGATCTTGATAATCTGATTCAGGATATGGACAGTGATGAAAACAAGGTAAGTAAAAGTACAACAGAGAAGCTACTTTAGCAAGAGCTGAACAGCCCAATTTTGGACTGTAGCCTACGTCTTCTCTTTTACCATCTCTCTCATCCTCATTCAAGCCAAAGATTTGAAGGTCACTTCCTAGATTGTAAAAACCACAGTGAATTCCTCAGGGCTGTGGTGTTTGTGATTGTAGAGCTGTGAGATGAAAGTTTGTGGTTTTGTTACCCAATGTCTCAGGTGCCAATGTAAGTTTCTAGTAATGGCAGACAGCTAATGATGACCATTTCAGCTTGCTGTTTCAGGAGTATACTATTTCTATTGCGATCAAGAGTTAAATAATAAAACTTCTCTAATTCTGATATACTTCTTTTCTTAGAGGAAGCAAGAGTTAAACTACTTTGTTTCTTAGCTTTCATACCAGCTAGCCATGCCTCTGGAGAGTCACAGATAAATTTGTGAACTGCAGGTGCATGTTTATGGAGGAAGAGGCTGTGGCTCAGCATTTGTGGCCTGTTGTAGATCCTGTGTGGCCTAGCTGGGAATAAAATCTTGAGATTTGTGACTGTCCCCTGGCCTGCTCCAACTGACAAACTCCCTATGAGGGCATGGTAATTCATGCACAAAATAGGATCCCTGATTCTAATTACATGGTGATACAGTAAAAGGGGTTTCCACAACAATAAAATACAGCTGTCTATCCATCTTTTACACTGGGATCTGATCCATGCCATATTCCACTTCATAACAAGCTGCTACTACCTTGTACAACATGCTTTTGAACTATGTGTTTCCAGTGAATGTTGTTGAACCTTACGCTGTTAGTTTACTACAGCTTTCTAACCGAGTTCTGATTGCCTCTTCTGCTTCAGATCCAGGCCTATGTGATGTGCAACAAGTTGCGTTCTGCCTACCTTGTGTCGGTGAGGCAGGAAAAGACCAGAGCAGTGCAGCTAGTGCAACATGTGCGACAGCTAGCTGAGAGCAGCAGAGATGACATTGTGAAGGCCATCTGTACCCAGTGGCTCCTGGCACACCAGCCCAAAACCAGAAATCGGCTTCCCCAGGGCACTAGGAAGTAGTAATTGACATTCACCACCATACAGAGAGGCAAGACTTCAAGATGGCTTAAAGGCATGTGGCTCAGCAGTCTCTTGGTAACATGGAATCTCTTGACTGATGTTGGTGGCAAATGGATGCTGCTAATGTGCCTCTGGTGAAAGGAAGGGAGCTAAATTACAACTGCCAGTTCTGTATTTTGACAGTCACTACCTCAGGGTGTTTTTTGGCTATCTTTTGGGGGGGCAGTTTCAAAGTGAACAAACAAGAATTTAGGTGAGTACTTCTCTTTCTGGGTTGGGAGGGAGGAGGTGCTGTTGGGGTTTGGGCCTTTTTTGTTTTTAAGGCACTGAATTTTATTACATATTTCTTATTTTTAACCCAGAAATCCTAAATAGAGAGAACAGTAAAATCTCATCAACTCAGTGTAGCCTGGAATATAAAACTTCTTGTGATTATGGGTTTCCTGTAAGCTTTTTTGAGATTGGAGACGTCCTCTTTTACGAAGACTGAAATGCAGAGATTTTGTTTAAGCCTCTCCACAAACCATTGCTAGTCCTTTTTGTTTTTTCCTTCTTCCCTTTTTTTTCACTTCCCCCCCCCCCCCCCCCCGCTAGTACAGTGTGCCCAGTTTCTTGAGTTCTCTTGAAAAGGTAGGAAGCGATTCTCCATGGCAGGTTTCTACGTACCAGTTACACTGTCTGATGTATGCCGTACATATGGTACTTGAGCCCTTATTAGATGAATGAAGTTATAAAGGGCATATCCTGTAACGGGAGTACAAAGGGAAAATAATACTTTAAAATAGTTGAAAAATCATGCACCTCTTTCTTTGCTATGGTGATATCAAACTGTTGCAATGCAGCTTTATCACTAAACAGTTGCCAGTAAACTTCCACAGTTTTTCATCAGGTATAGGAGAAATTGCAGATAAAGCAAGCTGTGGTAGAATTCAACAGGCCGTCTGTATCCCTGTCACACAGGGATTTGTTTCTTACCAGAAAACTCTGTTGCTGTCAGGTACAATTGAACACCAGACTGAATTTTTATTAACTTGACATACTGTATAGACTATATTGACAGGCTTTGCTCTGGAAGTGTTAGGTTAACTCAGATTTATGAAAAAGCAGGAATCTTTGTGTAATGGCTGTGTTCAAGGATGCTGAAAAAAGCAGCTGCTTCTCTGCAACTGTGACTGGGACATGAGAATGGTAGACAGTAGTAGAACCTTCCGGAAAAAAACAGAACAAAGCAAGGTACTAAACAAGAGTTTGTGCTTGTTGTTTACATGTACTTCAGCACAAGAAGTAGGAAAATTAGTTCACTTTGTAAGTAAACTAAACTTCTTAACAAAAGAAGAAACAACAGGTTTTCTGAAGTGTAATATACCTATTAATAGTTTTAGTACATAAACTGTCAAATAAATACATAACTGTTTTGCACTATCCCCAAGCTCACTGTAGTGACAGAACGGACTTCCAGGGATTCAGAAAGGACTTGTCCAGCACCTCCTTCAGTGTTTCATAAGCAGCACCCCACTGATGCAAACACCTCTCTTGGAGGTGCTCTGCTCACTAGAGCAGGGATAGAAATGTCTCTGAGCAAAGCAGTTGGAAATGACCACAGTTAGCATTCAGAATCTCCTGAGCACAGATTTGCGTTATCTCATTAGTGAGTACTAATGAAAGCTTTTGTTTCTTGACCAGGCTGACCTAGCTTTCCTTCAGATTACAGTCATTAGGCTATTCCTAAAGCCTGGCACTATCCATGTCTTCAGTCATTTCCAAATCTCTAATTATGCAGAGGTTTTACTGTTTGTGGTATCCAGATCAGCATTGCTGCAATGCCTAGCGTTTTGCTAATGTTCCTTCAGCTCTGTCGAGCACAGAGTGGGGTTTGTCATGCAGACCAGTCAGTTCTGTACCTGCCTTTCCTCCTGACCCTTTTGCACTGTACCTCATGCACTTTATAGAGCATTTGTTGTAATTTGATTTTTCTAACTTGGAATCTAGAGATCTTTCTCTTACCAGCAGAACTGGAATTTTGATCCTGACTAACTGCCTTGTGTTACAAATAGTGCAATTAACAAGGGGCTTTGAATTTCTGAGCATCTAAAAGGGATTGAGTACTGCCAGTTAGTAAGAACTTCTCTATTAATGACCAAGGTTTGTTTACAATGAAAAAAAGATAATAAAGTATTATGACTGTTCACATATCTACTGTTTGCTTTTTTTTTATCTCAGCATAACCTGTGGATTTCTTTTCTAGATCCGTATTTTGTTTTGGCTGTGCTTAGCAGAGTAATTTGAAGGGGAAGAATTGTTCTGTCATGCAAAATCTCTCTGCCTCCATGTTCTCAACATTTAGATCAATTGGAATACCACATCTTTAGAAGACCTCCCAGTAGCTAGCTCGGCCCCATATGTGTACTCTCACAAACCAGTAATCCTCTTTAGAGAGCTCTGAAAGTTAATCAAACTCTCCCCTGCAAGCCTCCATTTGAGACAGCTAAATGAGCTTTAGTTCCCCATTTTACAGATCAGCTTAGAAGAAAGTATAAGTGACTTGCCCAAGGTCAAAATAGTGGAGGTGTATCTCTGGAAACATGTAGTTATGTGCCTTATATAAAATCTATGGTCAGACTTCTTTGAGAAAAGCATTGACCCGCAAGGGCAAAATATTCCAGCCAGAGCCTTTCTGCCTGTTTTTTTTATAATGGTTTCTACTGCTCCTGAAGGCCACTTTGAAGATCACAGACACAGAGAAAACAAGCCAAGCCTGCAATGCTGGGTAGCATTCTACTGCTACACTATAGTTGTGGATTTAGCTGCATACTGGAGAGTAAGCCTAAAAAGAGAGGACAAAAAGCAGAGTGATAGGGAGGAACACAAAGGGACTTTAAAATGTTGCCTAAATAGAGTTCTCTACATTAGTAAGGCAGGTGCAGATACCAGCAACACCATGTAACATTTCTGAAGGAAGACAGGTTTCTATTGTAAAAGGAAAATGGCTTTATTTAGTATTGCTCAGAGGTAGCACAGGACTGTTCTGCATAGATGGCTCCAGGCAGAAAGAATTAATCATAAAATTAGCATTTGTTCCCCCAAATTGGCAGTTGGTCACAGTGACACGCTTATGTGCAAGTCCAAACACTTCCAAGCTGGGTTGGTTGGTTTGGTTTTTTTCCAGAAGTAGAAGATACTCCTACGAGCTGTGGCACTTGTTTTCTAACCGCTTAACTCTTTCAGAAACAATCTGATGATGGATCATAGTCTAGCATCAAAGTAGCACTAGAGTTTCAAGGGAGCAGTACCATTACTACATGGATTGACAGCTGCCTTCTGGAAGTGCAAGCTGCACAGTACTGCAGGGCCTGACTGGCAGCCTTGGCCAGCCACGTCCCGTAATGGCTGGATAGACAAATGTAAGGATTTCTGTGCAAGGCTTGCTTTCCTGACCTGTAGCTAACTTGACCTCTGTCAAGACAGTCTTGAGCTCTGCTTCAACTATTCAGCTCTAGGTAGTTTGCTGGCATGTCAAGCTAAAGTATCAGCTGAAGTAGTTTCAGTATTTTTAACACAGGTGTTACTCATTCTGCTCTCCTTTATAGGTTCTAAAGTCATCTAAAGTGCAGCTGGGGGGGTTTATTGTGACAACTTTTACACCATCTTTGCTCACATCTCATGTGCTTCACAGGAGAGGTGTTAATATTTTTTAGTATAATAACTTGTCTATGCACAATTGCAGCACTCCTGCAGCTTTTAACCTCCCAGTCACCTGCAGTGAGACCTGGGTTCTCAAAAGATATGCCAACCCTCTGTTATCTTACTGCCATCGGTGTGCAGCTGGGGCCAAGATACTTCAGTGGCTAGGGTCCAGCAGAGAATATTAAGAAAAACAGTTGAGCCCACTTACAAACTTTACCTAATGATTGGCCCAAAAAGGCCAGCACCTATATCTGTATGCTTGAGCTATCTGTATTGCATGGAATTGCCAGAAAATCTAACGCCCTACAGTACTTTCACTCTGACAGGTCAAATAGTAGAAACTGAAAATAACCTTAGATAATAAGTTGGGAGTCCTACAGATTTACTAGTATTGGGAGAGGGGATAAAGGTAATTCTTTAGACTGTCTGATAATCTAAGCCTAAGACTGCAAGCCTTCATTTCTGTTCTAAAGCCAGAGGACAATAGCTTCTGCCTGGTATGTGAAATACCAAGCAAAGGTTGCTCCGTGTCAGTGCTCTAATTCTCCAGCTAGGAAGGGGACTGGTTGCTTATAAATCTCCATCCTGAAGTGTAATACTCCAGAAATTCACATTAGATTGTGCCCATACAACATCATTAGGGCAGCAGAAGTATTGGAGTTTTAGTCTTGAGGTCTCTCAGCAGTGCTCTTCCCAGGAGAAGTATGGCTGGACTCAGCCTCAGCCATGTGCACACTTGAGGTCTGCGCTGCTCAGTCCCAGTGGATGCCGAGAAGCTGGCAGCTCACATTCCAGAGCTTCTTTGCTGTTTCATCATCTCGACCCCATGGAGATACGTATGCTGGCTGGCAGTCACTGCAAGAGGTACATGTTTTATTTTTATTAAGCTAAAGGTCTCCATTCATGTTAATACACTGAAATGTCTGTGTTAAGGCAGTTGCTTTCTACCAGCTTCATTTCAAAACCAACTGAAGGAAGTGTGGGAGGCTGTCCAGCAAACGAGCAAGGGTTGGTGCTAAGCCGTCTTGAGATAGGTTTCTTTCCAATTGGCTAGGGAAAAGTCTTTCCTAATGGCACCAAGAATTGATAGGCAAGTATATTGTCTTAAAGAAACCTATATATGCTCTACTATATACTCTTCAGTGTACCTTCTCATTAACACCACCAAGACGGGCTATAAACGCTAACCAACCTTCTCAGGAGCAGCTCTTCTAGCAGACGCTACAAAAAAAAACCAACCCACCCCACTCAAACAGCCCTTCATTCTAAACTATTTTTCCTACTATACTGCTGTGGCATGAAATGTAAAGCTGCCCCAGAACAGCAATACTGCAATAACCATGTATAGTTATCCCCTTTTCCATTATCCTCTGAACTGGAGCTCCCTTCTTTTCAGCTCCTGCAGGCAGACAGCATTCTGTCTGGAACAGTGATCATGTGTTCTCCTCTGTAATGCTAGATGCTGCAATAACATGGGAGTTTAAGAGAACAGAGGAAATTTCATCTTCTAAACTCTGTATCCAGCCTAGTGCTTTTAGAGCTCCAAGTGCAGAGTCTCTGGTGTTCCTGAAAGTACTCCGGTGGACTCCACCTGTCTTGCTGTGTGTCCTGCTAAACCTAGGACACTGTGGTGTGCAAATTCTTTTACATACTTGTGCTTTATATTCTATTGCCTGGAAAGTGAAGAGGATTTTAGGGTAGTCCAATGTGAATTGTGAATTACTGTTGAAGGTATCCATTTCCCACCAAGCCCAGAACTCCTTGCTTTTATGAGTTTAAAATCCACTAAAGCTTTCTGTATTCCAGCACATAAATGATCCATTTATATCCTGGGACAGACAATCATCCAGAAAAGATTAAGACATCTATCTATATATTCAAGTCTGATTAAGATGGTACAAACTCCCAAGTGAAGATCAGACAAAGCCATTACAAAGACTAATCTGGTCATACATCACAAGAGGAAAGCTCTGCAGACACAAAGGCTCCAACAGTATCCACGTGGGGAAACAAAGATAAACTTTCACATTCATTTCCCCAAAACCAGTATTGTTACACTGCTATACACGCAGTGGGAAGCTGACATAAATCTGTTCAAATGGAAGTCTTCAAATCTAGGGTGATGATGGCTTGGAACTGCTCTGGGCAGCAGTTTTGGTAAGGGGAAAGCGCAGGGTCCTGGAGCAAGTCAAGGAAGTCAGGGCTTGTAGTGGGAGCTACATAAGAAAGTTTGCAGGACAGAGTGTGTGTCCCAGCAGGAGTTCCTCCCACCTGGTGGGTCTGTCACACCGGAGAATCAAGTTAATTTGTCACATGCGAGTCCTGAAAATCTCACCTCCTAGCTCTGCAGCTCCACCAGTCTGCCCAGTGCCCGGGGAGCACAGGCCCCTTCTGCTCCTTCTGTGGGGTACAACTGCAGACAGAACCAAAGCAGTTTTCCCGGGATTGACTCAAGTGACCTCATTAACTAGACAGCTCTGCTGAAAGTGATTTGCCGCAATCTCAGGCAGATCAGGATTAAAGCCCTGAGCACATGACAGCCATTCCTGCCGTTTCAGTACAGTGATATTCCTAGCACTAAAGGACTTGCTGTTGTGTAGAGCTACATATAGTCAGGGATTCTTTTCAACATGATATCCACTGCAACAGACCAGGAAGGGGTAATGCTCTAGTATTTGTCACCCTCAGTCTTATCAGCCAGCCTCTTTCCCAGTCTCTCCTTAATGAAGTCTCATTTTCCCCAGCAAATAAGGTTGCCTTCCACACTATATCACTCCATCAGCTTGCACCCACCTGAAATACTGTCCTGTCACGGAGTCTAGCTCCTCTGCTACTGCACAGTAGATACTGGTCTGAGCTCCTTCCCAAGGTGTCTTCAAGAAGAATGAGAATATCTTCCACAGCCACGACATTACAAATGAATGCCGGACCAGCTCAGAATGGACAGAACCAGGATGGAGAGCGTTTGCTGTGACTTTAGTGCCTGTGGCAAAAGAAAGTAGTCCAGAACAAATCTGCGTGTATCAAATTACCTTAAAAAAAATACATATATATATATATACATATATAAAGGTAATACATTCTTCAGTTCCACCTGCAGACAACCTAAAGGAGGAGTCCAGGCATGAATACAGGGAGAGTAAGAAAAGTCCTCTGTAGTTACTACTTGGTATATGTGATGGATGCATTTGAACCCTTAACCAAACCAGCAGTTTTGTACAGGCTCCAAAGGAGGTAATGGCCGAGTTGTAGCCAAGCCGAGAACTCCTCTAGGAGACCCATGAGGAGTCAGTGACACAGTGAGCATTGAGGCATATGAACTTGGAACACCATCATGGGATTAACGCATGAATAGAGCAGGGCTTTTCCAAGACTCATTGTCCTGGGCTTAAACCACTCATTTATCAAGGAACAAAAGTACACTCTGCTCTCCTCTGGGACTTGCCTTGCAGCCGCCTCGCCAGCTCCCGGGTGAAGAGCACGTTGGCCAGTTTGCTGTGACAGTAGGCAAGGCCACGGTTGTAGCACTTCTCACCGTGGAGATCATGGAAGCGGATTCGGCCGCCATGATGAGCCAGTGAGGACACGTTCACTATGCGGGCTGGGGCAGACTGCTTCAGACGCTCCAGCAGTAGGAAGGTCAAGAGAAAATGACCTAGGGGTGAGAGGAAATGTCATCCTTCTCTACAGGTTTATCCTCCTGGAATTTCAAAGTACTCACGACACATTGTTTACATGTTATATCTTATTGCTGCCCTCATTTCAAGTTCAGGGAAAAGACAACCCCCCTGAATCAACAGCTAAACTTTTTGGGGGCCATTAAGTTCTGCTCCTCAGCTCCAAAAAGCTAGTGCAGTCATATATTTCAAATGTCCCAGGTAACGTGTAGACACTTAAGCTGGGTGCATGCAAATACACTGCACTGCATCTCCAGAACTCTGACTCTGGCCTTCCATCCTTCCCCAAGAAGGAAGGTTGAGGAAGAGAAAACGTAAAAGCAGAATTTCCTCTGGTATTCTGCCTACCACAGACCCTGAATGCAAACATGACTCCATCGGCCTTACCAAGATGATTGACTCCCAGGTGCATCTCAAAGCCATCAGCAGTCTTGGAGTAAGGGCATAACATTACCCCAGCATTGTTAATGAGAATATGGAGTTCCTTCTCCTCTGCAAGAAACAACAGACATTCTTAAACAGGGAAACAGAGACAGACAAGAGGATGACACAAGTCAGCCAAAAAACCTCACGCCTGTCTTGAGCTGCAGCCACAGCACCGCAATAAAATGGTAAGTCTACCACAAACTAGCTCATAGTCTGTCAAGCCCCTGCTGTGAACTGCAGTACCCAACGCAGTACAGAGATATGCAGGTCAGGGACTTGGCATCTGCTAGGAGAGCAGACAGCAGTCCTTGGTAAAATAGTCTCACTGAAAAGAAGGATCTAGAGACTGTACCTGCTAGAAATTTCTCAGCAAACTCCCGGATGGATTTTGTATCAGCCAAGTCCAGTTTTTTCACAATGACCTCCTGGTTCCCTGTCTCAGCTCGGATTTCACTGGCTGCAGCTTCTGCCTTCCTTATGTCTCTGCAAGCGACAATCACCCTCGCTCCTGCAAGGGGGGTAAAAAAACAGGAACAGAAGCTGAGATCACTGGAGCACACTGGATGATGGAGGCTAAGATAAACTGGCTATACACAGTGCTTACAAACAACGTCCTGTTTATTTAGGGCATCAGCATCAGTCAAGGGAGCAGCAGGGAGGGACAAAGCCTTTTCTACTATACTATTAGCTTCCACCCAGCCCAAAGCTGTTTTCAGAACAGGAAGATGCACATCTGAAGTGCCTCTACCCAGGCACTCCCACATCAGGAGCAGGTATCACTACACTGGTATGATACAGTTGTATCTACCCCTATAACAGGAATGCCAAGCCAGGAGCACAAGATACTTGGATTCCAGCCAGAGTAATTTCTAAACAGATTATGAACAGGAAGTTAATCTCCTTACTAGTCACCCAGAAAGCATGTATACCAAAATAGCTTGAAACATGAATAACTAAAGCACACCTCAGTGGACCTAGGGCATTTCCCAGCCTCATGCAAACAGAATACAGTGATACTGGCATCTTCACCAGTCCTCTCAAAACATCTGCAGTGCAGAGCATTTTCATGTCACAAGGAATATTTTTGGAGTTCAAGCAATGAAAACAGCCAAGGAACTGGGGACTTGCACCTTGGTGGTCACAACCTCTGGAGAAGCAACACTTGGGCTTGTCTGAAGTAATTTTGGATTCCAATGTTAGCACAAAACACTTCCTTAGATCTGGAAGAGGCACTAGGCACACCCAGGCACACGGCCGTCAGCTGCAAGTGGGTGCCTATTTGGTAACTGGTGACTTGCCTCTTCGTGCGAGGTCTCTGGCAGTCTCCTTCCCGATGCCTGTGTTGGCTCCTGTGATTACCACCACCTTCCCGTCCAGCTTAGCTGTTGATTTACACTGTCCTCCGGCGACATACCTCCTGCAATAGAGGGCAGCAGCCCCCCCCTCGACGGGGGTGACCAGGGGATGTGGGTCAGTGATGAGCACCCAGAGCCCCACGTTTCACCCCAACGGTAGGATTAACCGGGAAGCCACAGGCGTCGTTACGTGAAGCGGCCGATCACGATCGTGTCGTGCCCGGGCTACCAGGACCTAGCCCCTACACCCCTTCCCCGCTTTACAAACACCGGCGTGACTCGGCCCGGCCCCGCCGCCCCGCCCTGGCGACAAGTGGGACCACGGCTCCCATTGGCTGCCGCCACCGACTCCGGAGCCTGGGCCCAATGGGCTCCGCCGTGCAGCGGTGAGCAGAGGCCGGGCTCCACCCCCGGGCTCCCCGGCCGATTCTCTCCGCACCCGGCCGGGTCCGCGGGCCGAGGCAGGCCCCAGAGCGAGCTCCGCGCGGCTCGGAGGCCCGGGAAGCCGCCGAAGCAGGCGCTGCCGGCGGTGGCAGGGCTGAGCCGAGCCCCAGCTCCCGCCGCGAGCGCTACTGAGGCGCTGGAGCTGCGGCCGCGTGAACAGCGCCTGCCGCAGCGCGGGCTACAGAAACGGGATCTGTTAGTCCCAGTCACACAAGCACGCAGGTAGACCTGACCGCCGTGCGGGGCGGTGGGGTGCCCATGGCTACCAGCGCAAGCGTGAAGGGCTAGGGCCGCGCTCTCTAAAACAAACCTGATGTAGGGCGCTGCCACGAGGAAGAGGACGGGGACAGAGACGGCAGCCCCTAGCGCCGCTCCCCAGCAGGTGAGCATCCCCGCCGCCCGCTCCATGCTCACTGCTCGTGCTGGCGGCCGCCCCAGGCCCGCCCCAGTCACCTCGGACACTCCCCTGCCGCTTGGGTCCGCCCCGCCAGCGGCAGGCAGCCCCTCAGAGCATCTCAGCAGCGGCCCCTGGTGGCCCCGGCGTGGCCTGTTGCTTGACCCAGCGGGGCAGCTGCTGCAGGATTTTCTCGCAGCGGACACCCCGCGGCTCCCGCTGCCTGCCGCGGATGTGCCCCTGCCGGGAGGAGGAAGGCGGCCGATTCTACAGGAAAGGCTGAGAAAGTTGGGGCTCTTTAGCCTGGAGAAGAGAAGGCTGCGTGGAGACCTCATAGCAGCCTTCCAGTATCTGAAGGGGGCCTATAGGAATGCTGGGGAGGGACTCTTCATTAGGGACTGTAGTGATAGGACAAGGGGTAATAGGTTAAAACTTAAACAAGGGAAGTTTAGATTGGATATAAGGAAGAAGTTCTTTACTGTGAGGGTGGTGAGGCACTGGAATGGGTTGCCTAGGGAGGTTGTCAATGCTCCATCCCTGGTGGTGTTCAGGGCCGGGCTGGACGAGGCCTTGGGTGATATGGCTTAGAGTGAGGTGTCCCTGCCCATAGCAGGGGGGTTGGAACTGGGTGATCTTAAGGTCCTTTCCAACAGTAACTATTCTATGATTCTAAGCCGGGAGCCTGCTGCTTTTTTTCCCCGGGCAGCGCAGCACCCTCGTGACAACCCGAGTGTGCCGCCCTAATTGCACTGCCCAGTTCATAGCCGGAGAAATCTCTGCAGAGAAAGCGCGGGTGCGGTGGACTGGGGGGACAGTCCACATAGGTTTGCATAGCCTCTCGTCGGGGTTTGTGACACTAACCCTATCAAAACGCATGAAACGATGCACACGTTAGTACGCATTGAGGGCCGGGGACACGCGGCGGTAGGCCCAGCCGTGCTCGCTCTCACAGTCCCCAGAGCACACTAGAAGGAGCAGGCCGGGGCGCTGAGCTGCGTTGCCCCGTGCTCTCCGCCGCCTCCCATGGGAGACTACATCTTCCAGCAGGCAGTGCGCGCCCGGAGGCCCCCTTCCTCGCGGCAGGCTTGGACCGCGCCTGGCGCTCTCGGGCGCTGGCGAACATCGTCGCCCGCAGCCGTGCCGCAGTTCCCGGCTCCCGCGGGGAGGAGGCCGCAGCGGGCTGTGAACCTTCCGACGGCGTAGCCAGGCGGATTTGCGGTCGGGCGGCCTTCGGGGCGCCCATGGGGAGGCCCCCGCTGCCGCCCATGGCGGAAATGCCTCGCGAGGGAGCGGGGATGTGAAGGGGTAGGGGGTGGTGGTAGCCGGAGCTGGGCGGGAGGTGGCTGGCTGCTATGGCAGGCCGCGGCCCCGGCTCCTCGGAGCACCTGGAGCGGCTGCACGAGATCTTCCGGGGGTTGCATGGAGACCTGCGGGGCGTCCCCGAGCGGCTGCGGGGCAGCGCGGCCGGTGAGGCAGAGGGAAAAGGGGGACATGCGGCGGGCTGGGCTCTACCGGGTGCGGTGGCGCGGGGACCGGACCAGCCGCTCTCTCCCTCCCTGTCGAGGGGGTCTGGCCGCGGCAGGGTCTGGAAGCGCTTCCCCTCTTTGCTCCCTGGCTGGCACTTCCCCGCGGGCTGCCCTACGGGTAGCTGGGGCTGGTGGCAGGGCCGGGGCAGGGGCGTTTGGGATGTTTCCCCATGGATAATCTCGGGTTTACAGCCGAGAGGGCAAAGTCCCTGTAAGAAATGTGGGAGCGGGGGGAAGTTTGCCAAAGCAGTTTCAGGAATTCAGTGTGTCTTTGGACACCTCTTTGGCAGGGGCAGGTGTCTTTGCTGGGTTCCTTGTCTGTTATTTCTCAGTTGATGTTAGATTGTGGTAGCTTTGCTCTTTGAGTATTACGCATGGTCATGCAAAGCCCCAGGTAGGAAAGCAGAGAGGCAGGTGTGCTGCTTTATTTCTCTGGAGCTGCTCCTCTTACTTGGCAAATTTCAATGATGGATGTTCAGCTTCAGCGCTGAGGAGGAGTCGTTATTTGGCTGTCACTTCATGCTGTTTCTAGGTGAGATGCCTAAATTGCAGTGCTTTGGTTGGTCACTGTTGGACTCTTCTTTAAGATCTCACCAGCAGAATTAAAAGCAGTTTTTATCGGCACAACCAGTTGTAGACTCACTGGATAAGGTTTGTATTTTAAATTACCATTTTAAAAGTCTGGTCTGTGCGCTACTTACTCAAAGATTAGCAAACACTATCTGTCAAGCTACACAAAGTTATATTAAAAGCAAACCCTGATTTTAGGGGTATTCTTTATACCATGCAGCAGGTAAAACAGTGACAGAACACTTATCTGTAGGGCTTGGCATTGTGCTTCCAATTAAGTTCTTGATATTGTCAGTATTCTGAGAAACAGAAAGGGAAGTCATCTGACACGGAGAATTATACCAATGTCACCAGATCTACTTCCTTCATATGAGAAAAATGATATGCTGTTATCATGAGCCACTGTAGCTAAGCTTGGGGCTTGTACCACAGGAATGAGTAGAGGCTCTCGGCCACCTTCTGAACCTTGTCTTGTCATTCTTCCATAACTGATCAATTTCATGTGTTTAGGTCTAAAATCACAGAAATGGCTTGTTCAGGGTATGCTGGCCTGTGGCAGATAACACAGGCTTCAAAAAGCTTAATGCTCTGTTTCTTACCTGGCTTTCCAGTTAATAATGAGTTACATTCTGGATCACAGCCCACTTCATCAGCATGTCCGGAAAGCTTGGAACAAGAAAGGTGTTCAAACCTGCAAATGACAACTTTGAAAGCTTTTACAGGCAGTCAACAGGAATAAAAAGCATAAAAAAAGAAATACCCTTTCGTCTAGGTAATCCTTGTTTCCTTGCAGAGTAGAGAGTGGTCACTTTCTTAGTGAAGGAAAGTTTTGTCACGTCTCCTTGGAGCTGGGAAGTCTTGAGCAATTCTGAGAAATGGGCTTAAATGGGGTAGTTACAGGCAGCAATTTTTGCAATGCTTGTAGATATTTTAATGCTTTAATATTTTAATGCTTGTAGGTATTTAATCATGGCAGTCAGGTGAAGTTCCTGATGACTGGAAAAAGGGAAATATAACCCCCATTTTCAAGAGGGGGAAAATGGATGACCCAGGGAATTACAGACCAGTCAGTCTCACCTCTGTGCCTGGCAAAATCTTGGAGCAGATTCTCCTGGAAGGCATGCTAAGGCACATGAAAAACAACAAGGTGCTTGGTGACAGCCAGCATGGCTTCACTAAGGGGAAATCCTGCCTGACTAATTTGGTGGCCTTCTATGATGGGACTACAGAACTGATGGACAGGGGTAGAGCAGTTGATGTAATCTACCTGGACTTGTGCAAAGCATTCGACACTGTCCCACACAACATCCTTGTCTCTAAATTGGAGAGCCATCGATTTGATAGATGGACCACTCGGTGGATAAAGAACTGGCTGGCTGGCTGCACACAAAGAGTTGTGGTCAATGGCTCATTGTCCAGTTGGAGACCAGTAACGAGTGGTGTCCCTCAGGGATCGGTGTTGGGACCGGTCTTGTTCAACATCTTTGTCACTGACATGGACAGTGGGATTGAGTGCACCCTCAGCAAGTTTGCCGATGACACCAAGCTGTGTGGTTCGGTTGATACGCTGGAGGGAAGGAATGCCATCCAGAGGGACCTTGACACGCCTGTGAGGTGGGCTGATGCCAACCTCATGAAGTTTAACCATGCCAAGTGCAAGGTCCTACACCTGGGTCAGAGCAACCCCAGACACAGCTACAGGCTGGGCAGAGAAGAGATTCAGAGCAGCCCTGCGGAGAAGGACTTGGGGGTGTTGGTCGATGAGAAACTTAACATGAGGCAGCTTCAGTGTGTGCTTGCAGCCCAGAAAGCCAACCATATCCTGGGCTGCATCAAAAGGAGCGTGACCAGCAGGTCGAAGGAGGTGATCCTGCCCCTCTACTCTGCTCATGTGAGACCTCACCTGGAGTATTGTGTGCAGTTCTGCTGTCCTCAACATAAAAAGGACATGGAACTGTTGCAGCAAGTCCAGAGGAGGGCTACAAGGATGATGGGGGGGCTGGTTCACTTCCTGTATGAAGATAGGCTGAGAAAGCCTGGAGAAAAGAAGGCTGCTTGGAGCTGCGTGGAGGCTGCTGGCCTTTCAGTATATGAAGGGGGCCTATAAGGATGCTGGGGATGGACTCTTCATGAGGGACTGTAGGGATAGGACAAGGGGTAATGGGTTAAAACTTAAACAGGGGAAGTTCAGATTAGGTATAAGGAAGAAGTTATTTACTGTAAGGGTGGTGAGGCACTGGAATGGGCTGCCCAGGGAGGTTGTGAATGCTCCATCCCTGGTGGTGTTCAAGGCCAGGCTGGACAGAGCCTTGGGTGGCATGGTTTAGTGTGAGGTGTCCCTGCCCATGGCAGGGGGGTTGGACCATGATGATCTTAAGGTCCTTTCCAACCCTAGCTATTCTGTGATTCTAAGAGTCTATATTTTGTTTTCCTTAGATGACAAGTAATTCCAAACTGACTTTTCAGACATGCTGTGACATTTTAACATGATTATTCTGGTCTTTAAATTTGTTGTTGCAAACGTGGTAATATTTCTGGGAAGTACTTCTAGGGTAGTTCAAGGTAAGTCAGGAATCTGTCTGGTGGAGGTGTTGCACTCACCTGATTTGTTTGCTGCTTGTACTTACGGGGAAGGATTCATTTTTCAAGTTACCTAATCTTGAAAACTTCAGGAGGTAATGAAAGATACTTTGCATACTCTTTTAAGGTGATTTGCACTCTTCCACACTTGAGAGGAGACAGAATCTGATGTAGACCCTGGGACATCTTTGAGGGGCCGAGATTTGAAAATGCTTTTTTGCTCCATATAAACAAGATAAAAAAATCCTTGCTCTAGAAACATTTTTTTTTCCTCTGCCAAGTTTGTAAGAAGGCATTTCAAACATGATCAGTTTCAAATATCATTTCCTCTAAGTTAATTAATTTAGCTGTATTTTTCAGTTGTTTCTAACTGTTTCTAATTGAATGGAAATAAATCAGTTAAATGTTGGTGAGCATATGGGTAATGTTATTGTGGCTTAGGTACCTTTTACTTCTACTGCATTAAAGAAGTTCTCTCGAGGTACTTCGAGTCACAGTTTAATCCGTATTGATATGAGTTAAACTTCTCAATAGTTTCTGGCGTTTCTGTTAGGCCAGACGCAGTGTAATGCTTTCAAGCCGCGTTGCCTGATCTCTTGTATATACAAAAATGTCTCAAGCCATTGCCGCTTGACTTTCGTCAACTAGCGGCTTTGACTGGCGAGTGCACTGTGTTCTTAAGCCGCTTGGGGGACACAGAGGAGGTAGAATGCTGCTTTTTCACTCCTGCCCCGGGTTTGTTAGTTCGAGGCAGCAGTTTTGAGAGGGCGCTACTTAAATCGAGTTAGTGAAATTACCTGTGTGAAACAAAATACTGACTTCTGAAGGCTGTTTTCCTGCAGTTCAGGTCCATGATTTCACTTGCAACCCAGCTACAAAAGTAATTGTGTTGGCACAGATGTATATGGTGGCAAATCATGGGAGAAGTTGAGGAGAGTGTTTCTTAGGAACAGGCTGAAATGTGAAACTGCATTTCCTGACACCAGTTTATGTGTGGTATACTAACAGTCACAATGTAGCTTAGTCTGCAACAGTTCTATGCACTTCTGGAGAGCATAGCTTATTGTTAACTCTGCCTTAACTTCCCAGTTCAAATTCTGGGGCTTCTTAAGAATTTGGGCTGAATAGGAAAGCTACAGCATGTCATGGATGAGCGAGGAGCTGTGTAAAAATGTTTTTGATCACATCAAGTTCTTTCGCTGTTCTCCGTTGGGAGCTCAGTGGTTTAAGAACTGTTCGGTTTCCACTTTTTGCAGAGGACGTATTTACAAAAGGGTATTGTCACGGTGGGGTTTTGCTGCAACGATGTTTTCATGTTTTTCAACCTGCAGTTCTGCCAGTGGGGGTTGGAGGGTAATAGCTCAAGAAAATATTTCAGGTTTGAAAAATTACTTCTTTTGTGTACCAGAGATAGTGGACACTGTTTGGAAGAGAGGTTTCTGCTTTCTCCCCCAACTCCCTGCTGGAAAGTTGTCATAAGAACAGGGTGTTCCTGTTTGAGGTAAATTTTGACCTGAGATCTCTGTAATCAGCCGTCTGTGGCAGCTTCCTTGTCTGCAGGGGATTGAGCTGGAGGTCTGTTGTCATTTCTCTGACATGCTACTTTTTCCTTCACAGAGGAGAAGAAAAAAATGGTTCGAGAGTTTGATGAGAAACGGCGTGAAGCAAATGAAACGGTAAACACCAGTTGAGGCTCCTGCCCTTCCTGACCACCACACTACTTTCAGATTTTACTTTCTTTATGGATCATATTATGACAGGCGGATGTTGTATTTTTTTAATGCTTGATTAATTGATCTTATAGGTGTGTCTGTGTTTGTCAAGGCAGTTGTCTATATCTGTATATTGATAGATACGAATATTCTTACATGCTTTTCTTTCAGTGCTCAATTTGGATATCACCTTCCCTTTGTTGAACAAAGGAGAGTGACAGAGGTGGAATTCAAATTGATAGAGATTGGAGGGGGGCATGTAGAGAATCTGCTGCCTTTTTTTTTCTTTTTTCCCTTCTGTCTTTCTTCATGTTGGTATAGACCCTTTTCATCTCTCTATAATAGTCTGATAGTTAATATCAGGGACCTTGAATATTTAAAATCTCTATAATATCAACTTTCTGGGCCACAAGGGACATGGAACAGCACAAAAAAAAAAAAACAGCAACATGTGACTTGTCTTTTTAAGCAAGACATTGTGGTTTAAGCTTTGTTTTCATGTTAGTGTGTTTTTATGTTTTTGAGTCACAGCTGAACATGATGCTCTATTGCTCTAACTTACTGGGTTTTGTTGACAGGTGTCTGTATAGGTGATGTGCAAGATGCTGAGCTCATACTGTGTGAGGGCTGGTACTGGTGGACAGCTTTAACCATTGTAACTTTGTGACTTAACTGTCACTAAAAGGTGATGTGAAAATTCACACATCCAGAACCCCAGGGTTTACAAATCCCAACTCCCATTGCCAGGCTGGAGGTTGAGTGTGAATTTAGTGCCACGCTTGCCTCTGCAGTAATGGATCTCTACTGCATAGAGACAGTGAGAAACTAATACCCATTCTATAGATGCATAAACTATATGAAAGTGAGAACTGGAAATTCTGAAGTTATAGAGTGACTGTTCAGGTAGAAATCACACATTTGAGCCTGGCAAATATTTTTTTTTTAAATTTGAAGCATCGTGCACCGGAAAATCCATGTGGGCTGAACAGTGCTGGGCAGAGACATTGGTGTACTCGATACTAGATAAGGGGTATATATGTGTTTGGGGTTAATCCCCCTTGCCCAATCACATAAAAACATGTGAATCCCTTCACCTGATGGTGATTTTTGAGGATCGCTGCTGTGAAGAATAGATTTGGTGCTTAAAAAACTGAACACATTTTCTTCTGTTAAAGCTACGGGAAATGGAGGAAGAGCTGAAGTTTGCTCCTCTGCCATTCCGCAACCAAATGATGAGCAAAATCCGGGCGTACAGGAGAGACCTCTCCATGTTCCAGAGAGAGATGAGAAGCACAGACTTGGGACTGGGCCCTGGAAGTCAAGGAGATATGAGATACGGAATCTTCTCCACAGAAAATGAACAGAGTGTGAGAATTACATATAAATTTTACTTAACATTGATGTGCTTGTAAAAAATCCAGATATATCATTTAGAGTGTTTCTGCTTCAGTCTACTTAGTTTCTGTGCTTGTATAACTCCCTGCATAAATCTCTGCACATAACATGAGTATCTCGGGGAGGAGAAAGAACACCTGGAACTCAAAAGGAGAGATTTTCTGTTCTAAATCAAAGATAGGCGTAGAATCAAAACGGAGCTCCTTGAATGCCACGTCCTTAGTAACTTACATAATATTGTGTACTGAAATGCTTCATTTAATCATTCCCCTAGAACAGTGGGAAGTGATGTCACAAACTCAGAAGAAAGTTGAACTGATCTACTTTTAGTCTCCAAAACTAGCAGTGTGTGAATCATGCACTATATGGGTTCTCTGGTGGATTACTCTTTTAAGTAATCTCAGTGTAAATAATTCCAAGAACATATAAGAAGTCATGCTGTAGCACTTTTTTCCCTATGGATAGGTTGCTACAGTGCAAGAAGTAAAACTATTTGTGTACCAGGTTTGCTTATATATGTCTGAGCTAGTGAGACTGAATTGACTTTTATCATCAGAGTGGTGTCACCTGTACAGCAAGTTCATGAAGGTGGGCATCTTTTTTGCCTGCCTTAGATAAGGAAGGCTTGAGGGAAGTTCTCTCCTTGGTACCTCGTTCTGTAGTACCTTGGTTTTTGGTTCCTCTTAAACCTGAGAGCAGAGTGATAGTTTAGACTTTCTGAAGCTTAAGAAGATGCTTTATTTTGAGCTACCTTTTGGCCCCGAGGTCAGCAAACATTTCTTAGGCTCTAGCTAAGGCTGTTGGCACGAGAAGAGGCTCTTTGTTACTTAGCAGTCCATCTGTTACTGCTGTTTGTTCCCAGTCCTTTTGACTGTGAACTCTTGATCTCCTGGGCAACCAACTCAGTCAGTCACAAATAAGGCTGAATTTAGATATGAATGGAAAGAAAGTTAACATCTGGAAAGCAAAGATACTATTTTCATGTAAATGTTCTTTGATGGAAAAGTAAATAGTTGCAAAGGCAATTTTTTCAAGATTTACCAAATTTACCATAATCTTAGAACATGAACAAGAACTCTTTCAAAATCAACTGGGCTACTTGAGTTAACATCAGAAGTACATACAGCTAACACAAACGTATGGCCTAAGGAGTCACAATCTAACTTCTTAATATGTCAGAAGCCTATTGCCTCTGTCTTTGTGCTCAAGTTAAGCATATGTTGTTTTTCAGACTAATCTGCAGTCACAGAGAGTGCTGCTGCTCCAGGGAACGGACAGCCTGAACAGGGCCACTCAGAGCATTGAGCGCTCACACCGAATTGCCGCTGAAACAGATCAGATTGGCACTGATATAATCGAAGAACTTGGGGAGCAGCGGGAGCAACTGGAACGCACCAGGAGCAGAGTAAGCAGAGAAACTGTGGGCTTTGTATCCAATGTTAGTCTAGTGGGAACCATGTGTCAGTCATCACTCTCAAAGACCTCTGTAGCAGTGGTAATCCTATTGTTGTTTCTACAGATCAGATCTGTCTGCCACCTTTCTGTGCTGTGCTCATAAAATTATCACTGTAGAAGGGCCCAAAACACGATGTTGGCCATAGTGAAATCTTACCTGGAGACCTCCAGAGGCCATGCCTCATGAATCCAGACTCTGTGAGACAACAGCTTTTTTAGTTGTCTGTAACCTCACTTAGTTACGTGCTTCTTAATAGCTGACTGAGAAATACCTGACAGTTCATTTCTGAACATTACAAAGCTGAAATGGGTTATTTACTAACAGTTCAGAGCTCATAGCTGCTAGGTCATAGACAACATGGTTCCTTCTTTGCTAGGAATTGAACAGTATTTCAGAAGGTTCCAGATACATACAGGGGAGAGCACCTCAGTATTGTTTTCTCCTGATGTCAACAACTAGAATAATGAAATGAAATCCAATGAAAGCAGCTTTCCAGCCAACTTCCTGGTGTTTGTAGATGAACTTACTTAAAAGGGCAGAAAGTGACCCCAAATTGCATGTCTGTCTTTGTATGCATCTAAGGGAAAGTATGCATGCAAGTCTTTATTTCCCCCTGAGAAAGGAGACTGCTTCCACCTTGTATTGTGTAGAGAACAGTGTTGTCTGAATTTTGAGAATGTCTGGTTAGCTTTGGTCCCATTATTAATGGCAACATTTCAGCACCAGGTACTTCCAGGTGCAGATTTACAGTTGCTGCGCGCTTGTTTGACAGGTAACTTTTGTTTATTTTTAGTTGGTGAATACAAGTGAGAACTTGAGCAGGAGCCGCAAGATTCTACGTTCCATGTCCAGGAGGTGAGTTCTGTGGCTGACTTAGAGCAGCACTTGGCTGTGGCATTGCTGCCTGAGACTTTCAGGCAAAAAATAGAGAACAGTCAGCTGGAACTGCGGGCAGGTTGTGGGGAGTGTGCAAACACAATGTGTGCCCAGGGGCAGATGTTTATTTGTGTTGTTTTCTTTCTGTCGATTACATAAGGAGCGCAGGTAGTGGAGCACTTCTGAATTTATGCTGCTTGTTTGGGGTAATACGAAGTCATTAAACCATCTGCATGATAAACTGTGGTGAGGCCATAAGCAAGTTACAGGGAATTGCTAATGGTAACTTTAGATCCTTATTACTCAGCTTACAAAAAGCTGTGCCATAAATCATTGCAGCAGTAAGGGAGTGAATGATGACACAGGCAAGTCTTTTTAGCCCATAGGAATGCCCTAGAGTAGCTCACTGGCTCATGAGAAACTGGGCCTGACCATGTACTATTTTGATGACTAAAGCCTTGGCTGCTTAAGTGCATGTACAGTTTCTTAACTACATGGTTTAATTATCCTCATAAACCAGTTCTTGGACTGTACTTCCAGTAGATATTTACAACCCATTGGAAATATCACCAAAAAACCCACTCTTTCCCCTCATACCCATTGCTAAAGTAAGTTCTGACAACTGTATACTTCCCAATAGTAGAGGTACATTATTTTGAGATTTTACTGTTTTACTTCAGCTACACAGTTCCAAGTGAAAGCACTACAATGCAGCTTTTAGCAAAGGAGTTCAACTCATGTTTTCCTCTTTGCTTATGTGAATGCAGAGCAGAATGATCTGGTTTATGCGGGGTGGGGAGCAAGAGGAATAGAACTGCTGCTGTTGAAGGTTCCAGGGAAAACATGAGTAAGAAACTACTGAGTTTGTCCCTGGCTGCTTGTTAAGAGCTATCCAAATAACACTTTGTGGTCTACCTGAACCAGGGAAGGTGATGATCAAATTATCTAGAATCTGCTTCCATCCCCAAGGGAAAACCAGCTATCTTGGATTTCTGTATTTTTATTTTTTAACTCTAGAATAGCCACTAATAAGTTGTTGCTGTCCATCATCATCATCCTGGAGCTGGCCATCTTAGGCGGGCTGGTCTACTACAAGTTCTTTCGCAGCAGATGAATCTTCATGACTGAGATGAGCTCTTCCTCCATTGGGGAACCAGCAGGGCTGTCTGTTCCCTTTGACTGTCTGAGGACTGAACTGTCTTGTGAACTTGTTCACCTGAAACTGTACTGACACTAGAAAGACAGAGAATGGGAGTAAAAAGCAGAGACAGACTTGAACTACTGGTAAGACCAATAAGAAGGTAATAAATATTTTATTGTCTCAATTTGCATATACTTAACTAAATGAATAAATCTTGGTATGTAATAAAGTAGCCACCAACCACTGGAAAAGCTAGTTTATTTGAAAATTGAGAAGTTAACAGTATGTGCCAACTGTTGACAATCTATCCACTCGAGTGCCTCAGCAGAGCTCTGCAATGTCCACTGTACCCAACACTTTGGGTTCTTAAATCCTCACTTGCTCTTCTCTGTCAGATTCATCTGGAGAGCTGGGTGTTGGGAGTTCATCAAAAGCAGTGTGTGCTCCTTCCCTTGTCTGGCCAAAGCATGTTGCTATCACATCAACTGCCAGACTAGCAGTTGCATTCACTTCCTCTTGAGAAGCTCCAAGCAGTGGATTGACTTCAACCATGTCTACAGCTGAAAGCATCCCTGCAAGAATGATATACAGCTTTTTTACTGTGGAAAAGGGTAAAATCTGTAGTAGGGTTTCTTTTGCAGCCTCAGTCATTGCAGTAAGTCTGATATTCAAGCTTGTGACCTACTCTACCCCTTACAGCAGTAAAAGTGGCCCTTGAGTGAGGGAGGAGTTCATCATTCTGAAATGCATGTTTGTGAGTTTAATTCAGTTCTTTCTTACATCATCACTACCTCACTCATTCATGCTTTCACCATTCAGGAAAAACAACCTTGATGTACACTTAGGAGAGGAATGGGTTTTAATCTTTTTTTCTCCCAGTCCAAAAATTAGGGGATGTAGCATAGTCTTACCTGCTATTCATTTACCACCCTGTTCATGATTCTGTTGACTGGTGTCTGGGCAGCTTTATTTCCTGGTTGCTTCCCCCTCCCCCCCCCCTTTTATTGCAAATAACTTACTATTTAAACACACAAAATAAAACCTCCATGGCGTAAGAAGGAAAGCCCTTAATGTATTGAGTCAACTGCAGTGTATTTATTAAAAGCTTGATTTGTCAGTCTCAATTCCTAGAATGGAGCTTTGAACTGTTTAAAATCATGTGCATTCATTTTTGTATTCCAGATGCCCACTTTAACATCTCACCTCATGTATTTAGGTGACAGTATTGTACAAGATGACCAAGTGATTTTTTTTACATTAGTTATTAATATATGATGTATTTTATTTCTTTTTGGTAAGGTGAAGTTGATGATGATTAAGCTGCTTCCAACACCCAGGGCACTGCCCAACCCTAGGATTACTGCTTCCCTGACTGAAGGCTGAATTGACTTTATAGTCACCCTGGCTATCACTGCATTTATCTCACTGTCTACTGACACAGGAAAAACGTACCCAACATGAATGAGCTCTATGGAGTTTGTCCTGTCCTTGCTTAGTCCAGTACTGCTGATCATCAACTCCTACCTGTGTTGTGTATTTCCTCCGTGATGTACATGCCTTCTCTGTAAGTTAATCCACCTAGGACAGGAGTCCCAGTTGCTGGAGCCAGTGAGGGATCAAAAGCATCAATGTCAAAACTCAGGTGAATTGGTCTCTGTCTCCTGAGACAGAATAAAACAAGAAAAGGAACCTCAGAACCTTAAAATGTTTTCTATTTTTTTACTGTCCAGGCTGGTTAGCAAAGTAGCATCGTGCTCCATGATGTTGAAGGTCCCCCCCAGGTCCTGTACCACATCTTGTACATATTTGCAAAAGATCTGTTGGTTTGTGGGGTTTGTTTTTTTTTAAGTATATTTGGACTCTGAAATATCTGTTAGCTCAGACCCTTCCCCAGTACATGCTGGGAAAACAGAAGTTTGTCTTTCTAGTTTCACTGAGCATGCACTCAGTTGTAATTTGGCTGGAGACAAGTACTTTCATTCTAAGCATTTTATCTGGTATTTGTCCCATTAGTTGGAAAAATGTAGAGAAATGTCTGGTATAATGCATCCTTTCTCCTTCTGTACAGAAAGCCAGGGTGAAAGGCTGAAACAGCAATTCACGTGGCATCTAGAATGGAGGAAGCACTAAGTGTGAGGATTTCCTACACTATCAGGACAAATTTTCCTAGCTCATCAGGATAGCTGGGGCACTCCACTCTTTTCAGGTCAATAGTTGAAGGCTGCCTCCAAACTCCACCTTGTCAGCCCAGCTGATGAAAAAGGGAGGGATAATCTCAAACCTAAAATGTTAGTTACTGACTACATGAAGTCTGGCAACTGATGACTGTAATAAATTGGACATTGCTTGCCAATTTAAGTGGTAGACTGTGTACTTCCAACTTGGTGCAGATGCTTAGCAGGGAGAAGCAGCTGGATTAGCAACTTGGCAGAGATGCAGCTAGGAAGGTTGAGCACACCTTTAGATACAAACTGTGCAGCACAAATACATGGCCCTTGTTCTGCTTACAGGACTTTGTTCTACGCTGTGGGGAGTTCACCTTTTCTAACTCTGATCCTCTTCATGTGTCCCTAGATGAGCAGGATTTGCTCCTTGATCTGGTTCCTTGACTTGTCTTAAACACGGTTTGCAAAGACTTGGGAAATGAACTTAAGTAAGGAAGTGGTTACAGTGAACCTCACAAGGTGAACTAAAAGTAGCAGTTGACATCAGGACAGCACATGTGAGCACAGTCTAGGGAGGAAGTTACCAAATGCTTCTCTACCTTGTGTAGAACTACCTCATGTAGTTAGCTGTACTATCAGTTGTATTCAAGTCACTGTCAAGATGCTACAGACCTAATTTTAAAAGTATGACATATATAGCCTGGGCTCTGAGTTGATTTAAACATCTTGTCAAACTGCAGCAGAATGCAGAACTCCTTAAGAAAGAGGACAAGCTACATAAAGCAGAGCCACAACTGTAGTGTAACCCATCTTGTAGCTTTTTGCCAAACACCATGAAATGATTCTAGTTCAAGATGTGGAAACTGAGGACTAAAGTCAGTGCTAAGACTTCACTATTTACTGGACACAGTCATAGTTCTGTTAGGCCACCTTACATCAGGAGTAAGGCCTTACTTTCAGGAAAGTAGATATTCAACAATGGATGATAAGAGTAGTTTAAACCCAATAGTAGTTTGTTACCTGCCCATAAGTTGTTCAAATGTTCTTTCCATAACTTTCTGAATTCCAAGACGATCAATATCCCTCATGGAAAAATACTGGATGTCATAGTTCTTCAAAATATAGCTGTTAAAATAATAATAATAAAATCATTACTGTCCTAAGCTTAAGCCTAGCAGCCCTTATAAACAGCCACATGAGGAAAGAAGCTCATTATTTCATCCTGAGCAAAAATCCTTTAACTAAACTTACTATTCAGCAGGATCCACATCCCTCAAACCAATGTACACAATATCAGAAGCTGAAAGGCAGGGCTTTAGCCAGGAAAAGCCAGGAAGTTGTGGTACCTGCAAGCAAAGTTTTACTATTAGGTTAGTTTAATGACATATAAACCAAAATTGTATTTAATGCTTCCCTCAAAACTTTGTATTTATTTATAACATCCATTCTCTGAACAGAGAAACTTCATCGCTTGAGAGGTTGGCTTCTTGATTTCATCAGTCCTTACCTTTGTCATACCATTTTACCTTAGATCAGCATTAATGGATGAAGATTTTAACTCTTCTACATTTTCCAATTTAAAGAAGAATAAAAAGCTCAAAGCCACAAGTAGTAGGTAATTAGCAGCAGTGAATGTAAGGGGGAGTGGTAATAAATTAGTTACCCAGATGTAGATCCCTTGTACAGTGCATTTAATGGTAATGCTATGTCACTTACAGTACATTGTACTGAAGTGGAAGAATAAAATCAAGGTGCTTCTGTATTTTTAGGAGAATCACTAAAAAGTCATGCAAACTTTGTTACAAAACCAGTGTTAAAGATGGACAAATTCAAAGTGGGAAGTTGCGGACAGGGAATGGGAAGAGCATGACAGGAAGTTGGGCCTCACATTGGGCTACGTTATAACTGGTTTTTAGTGTAGAGCTGAAGAGAACAGGTCCAGGACAGCAAATGGAAGATGATGATGTCATCATTTTCAGCTTTGGTATGTAAATAGTCATGCAGTTACAAGAATCCTTCAGTTAGTACTAGCCACTCATTTTAGGAGTGCTTTAAATTAACTCAGATTTATCTTCTTCCTCTCCCAGCTCTGAAAATGGCTACAGCCAACACATCCATGAAGCACCAAGAAGGCTGTTTCCCTTTTATACTTAGTTACTAATTACATTGCAGTTACAACATTCACATTTGGTTTCAAAGGCTAACACACCCATAGCTGTATGTAATTACATCAGAATCATAGAATGGTTAGGGTTGGAAAGGACCTTCAGATCATCAAGTTCCAACCCCCCCTGCTATGGGCAGGGACAACTCACACTAAACCATGTCACCCAAGGCCTTGTCCAGCCTGGCCTTGAACACTGCCAGGGAAGGAGCATTCACAATCTCCCTTGACAACCTACTCCAGCGCCTCACCACCCTAACAGGAAGGAATTTCCTCCTTATGTCCAATCTAAACTTCCCCTGTTTAAGTTTTAACCCATTACCCCTTGTCCTATCACTACAGTCCCTAATGAAGAGTCCATCCCCAGCATCCCTATAGGCCCCCTTCAGATACTGGAAGGCTGCTATGAGGTCTCCACGCAGCCTTCTCCAGGCTAAACAGCCCCAACTTTCTCAGCCGATCTTCATATGGGAGGTGCTCCAATCCCCTGATCATTCTCATGGCCCTCCTCTGGACTTGTTCCAACAGTTCCATGCCCTTTTTATGTTGAGGACACCAGAACTGTACACAATATTCCAGGTGAGGTCTCACATGAGCAGAGTAAAGGGGCAGGATCACCTCCTTCGACCTGCTGGTCACGCTCCTTTTGATGCAACCCAGGATACGGGTGGCTTTCTGGGCTGCAAGTGCACACTGAAGCAGGCTCATGTTCATTTTCTCATCGACCAACACCCCCAAGTCCTTCTCCGCAGGGCTGCTCTGAATCTCTTCTCTGCCCAGCCTGTAGCTGTGCCTGGGATTGCCCCGACCCAGGTGTAGGACCTTGCACTTGGCATGGTTAAACTACATGAGGTTGGCATCAGCCCACCTCACAAGCATGTCAAGGTCCCTCTGGATGGCATTCCTTCCCT